ATTAAGAATTGCAAACACAAGAATTCAGAAACTAAATGCAAAATATTAGCCAAAAATAGGCTTTCTTTTGAAAAGTTCATTTACATCAAGAGTTTTGACATGGGACAATCTCAATTATTGTCTCTTATCTATCAATACAACAGTGTTGGGCCTGCCAGGATAATACTTATTTGTAAAATAACAATTAAGCAACAAGGACTTGATGCAAACATAACATTCCTACACATAAATTAATAATCCAGGACAAGAAAGAGGTTCCCTAATTCTGAGCCAACCAATAGAAAGAAAGTACAATTTTCCACCAATTCCACTAAACGAAAGAAACACAACAAGAAAACTAAGGAATGCCAGAGTATGTAATGACACTCTATCCTCTCAATACTAATGAAAGAGAATTTCAACATATGATTCCCTTGGCTTCTTTCTCTAGCACAACCATAATGACTGAATGCAACATGGAAGCTCAGGTTCATTATAGCTATATTTAAGAAAATAAACCTGTGAAAACCCCATTAAGGTCTCACAAAAACATTTAACTTATCCCCAAGTCTGTGGGTACAAGCCATAGGTTATCTGCAAAGATCCCATACATTATTTTAAAGGGAACAGCTAAACAAATTGGCTCAAACAAAAATACAAATAAACGGATTAAAAACTGGCTATCTAACCGTATACAGAGAGAAATCGTAATTGGTAGTCCGTCTAGTTGGGGAGAAGTTTCCAGTTGGGTCCCACAAGGATCGATATTGGGTCCCATTTTGTTTAATATCTTTATAAAAAATCTGGAAGACAAAGTAGAGAACGTGCTAATTAAGTCGACTGATGCCACTAGATCAGGATTGGTGGTTAAAGTAAACTGGATATAGATAAATGCTATTGGTGTTTAGAAAGACCGATGATCACAGACAATAGGACTTTTAATTAATTGTATCTTTTAAATGTATTATTTAAAAAACCCCTAATTCCAAGCACTAGAAATAAATAGACTTATAAGACTGTAGTGGCTTTGCATAACCAAAGATTAGGCACATTGGACACAATACAGACACAACACTCATAAATGCAGCATGAAGAATGCCCTCAAATGGAGATCTTTTTGGTGCAGCATTTTTGGGGAAACTGGTGGTGTGGGTCTCTCAATATTAAAGATATTAGAGGAATTTCATATATGCAAGAACCAATGTGGTAGAAAGGCAAAAGTAATTAAATTGTCAAATGTGTATTCATTTAGATATTGGCAGAAAGAAAACAACATAGAGCTTAAATTAAAAAAAAAAAACAGTTGAAAACTTGAAGAGATGAGCAAGAATACTGGGTGAAATGATCAAAAAGCAAATTTCACAAGGAAGCACACACATACATACATACAAATAGAAGAATGCAAAGGATAATAGGAAAGACTCCCCTAACACTAGAATAGAGGTTATATATTTTTTGAACTACTCTAGAAGACATTTGAGGAGAAAAAATTCAGTATAACTCTTATTGGTTTGAGGTTTATTTTAAAAATCTTAGTATTTTACAACTTAATTTGTCACATGAAGACAACTGTGAAAGTGACACTGCTTGTTAGCCAGGAACTCTCATGTGTAGACAGGTAGGTGTTTCAGATGAAGTGAATATATAAACTAATGTAGAATCAGCTTTTTAATTTTATATTATTTTTTCACTTGCTAGTATAGTGGATTGCATACTGGATAAGGATTGGAAAACCCAGCTCGAATCTCTGAAATTCTGATAACTTTGCTATGTAACCTTGGATATTTCACTTTCCTTAAGAGTCTTAGTTTTTGCATCAGTAAAATGACAGGATAAAAACTGTTTTAAAAGTGGTGGATGCTCTTGTTAAAAACTTACAGGAAACTAATACAGAGAAGACATCAGAAAAAATATAAAAGTATGCTGTGGAAGCAACGTGGGCTCCCGCCTGGCTAGCCTTCCCATTTTCATCCCTCCCTGACCTCAAGACAGATCACAGCATAAAAATCACTTTAGATGATGTGACTTGCTGCTTCCATTTCTAGGAAACCATCAAAAGGAAGATGAAAAGGTCAATCCTTATTTTACTGACTGATTTTTCCAGAGCAGCCAACAATACTTAGTTGATTATATGTGCCCAATCTTCGGGGGAAAAAAATTAGAATTTCAATTGAAAAGGGACATTTTCGATAAAAAAAAAAATAATAATAAAGTGGCATTATTCATGATGCTGACACAAAAGAGAACACTGTGCAATCAATCAGAGCCCAATGTGGGTCTCCCCTAAACTTTCATGCTGGGTTAAAAAAAGAAACCAGGGGAGTCTGAAATGTCAGATGGTCACCTTTTTGTTTTAATCTAATCAAGAGAGCTGTAAGTGTTTTGGTCTAGAAAATAATTGGTAAATTTTGAAGTAGTTCATTTGCTATAAATTTTACAGCTAATATCTCTTGATAAATGATTTTCCTGCTTCGACTTTAAAACTTAAGACCTGAAACACTCCTCTGTAGATAATTCTTTCTCTCTTAGAGGTAGGGGTGCATCCTACATGCTATACATGTAAAATGTACAAGCAAGCATCGCCAATAGGTCTGGAGACTGCAAATTTTACTTTATAAAGTAATGATGTCTACTGTTTATAATAATTTAACATTTTATTAGTGTTTACCACTTACCGAGTGCTTATCATGTACTGGAGACTATGTTACTCTCTATACATTATCACAAATAATCTTCACAAAAAATTATGAGAGAGGAATTAACCCTATTTGACAGATGAGGAAACTGAAGGTCAGCGAGGCTGATTTTTTTTTTTTTTGGCCTATAGTCACAAAACTATTAAGTGGAGGGTAAATCTTCTACCTGATTGACTCCAAAGCATTTCTTCAGTAACACTGTGCCAAGTCATAACTCCCAATGTCTTGATGATATGCTTGCTGATCAAAGACAGTGGAGAAACCACTTGTCTTATAGAGTTTTAAGAAGAGGACATTGTTTCCATACCTCAGTTTCTAATGTTTGAAACTGGGAAACTGGACTGGAGCAGGGGTTCTTTAGTTCACTGATAATGACATTCCAGGATGGGTAACATTCTGTTATGGGGAGGCTGTCTAATCCACTGTAGGACGTGCAGCAGCATCCCTGGCTTCTATTCAACAGATACCAACCAGTAGCAATCTCCTCTCCCAAGTCTGACAACCTAAAATGTCTATAAACATTGTCATAGATCCCCTGGGGGCAAATTTGCCTCTGTTTTAAAGACCACTGTATTAGAAAAACTCGAGGTATCTTTTCTGTTCTCTCATATTCTATGCTCTGAATTGTGGGTCCAACTGCAGCCAAGAGGATGAGCTTTTTCATCACTGTGGGGTACCTACTACGTGGACCATTCTCTACCTCCATCTCAGTACACTGAATTTAAAACTATCTGAAGTTCTCCAGGTTCAGTTTGCTATAAAATTGCTACCCTCTGGGTCTTAAATTTATCATTTAAATGCAAATTGGTATGAAAAACTAAGGTAGATTAAAATGTAAAGAGATAGAATATTAAGTCAGCTTTGCATTAGGCAACTGATTCAGACTCATTTTAAATCACAGCCCTATGAGATAGTTTTATTTATTCATTTTCTTTTCTTTACTAAGGCTACCGTGTCAGGACAATCATAAAACGGGTTTAAATTTAAATAGCGTTCTCTCACTTGACAGCCTGGGAGAGCCATGATGCTACTTTGGAATCTATTGAGAGTTTTCAGTAAGTGAAACCTCAGGCATTGCAAAGAAATTGACAATTTCCAGACCTGTGGTTCATTGGGTTTCAAGGGCCATACTTAAAATTTGCCTGATTACAAATAACATTTCCCAGGAAAGAAGTGCCTTTAACTACAGAATAGTTCAAAATCGAATATCAGACCTATGGATCTGTGAAAAACATTAGTGAGTCAGAAACTTTCACTGGATTCAATCCAAATAAGACTCAGTGGTAGACTTTATTTATGGTGTTCCATCCTTGGAATTAAATTAAATAAAATTAATTAAATAAAATTAAATTGACATTAGAAATATTAAAATGTCAATTAAATAATTATTGGTATGCTTAAAATGTCAATTTAATAATTATTGACATAATTCTAGATAGTTTAAAAGTATTACTATTTCCTAGTTCCATCACTATGACCCTACATATACCCCTTGACAATCTAATCAGAGTTTCTGGGGAAGAAACTCAGGCTTCAGTATTTTTCAATTCTCTTCCAGCCATTCAATCGGGCACCCAAAGGTGAAAGCTATTTCCTTTAAGAATGAACCGGGTTAACAACTGTGTGAGAATCATTTCTTGACTATGTCTGACCTAAACAAGAGAGTAGCCTCCTGTAGGCAGATGGTTCAGTGCTTTCAAGTGGTACCTGTGGAAGGCATTAAGTAATTATCTGTCACTTAAGGAGAAAATGATTCTTTTCTCCCCGTCCATATCTCTTTCTATACTTCTGATGATTTCAAGGAAAACGTCTCAGTGTTACTCATATCTCTGTACTTGCTTATCTCCCTTTTAAATCAAAGAGAAGGCAGAGCTCAGGCCCAGAGCCTTCATCTAGTATAACCTAGAGTTTAATAACATAACTTCATTTTTATTCGTTTAAACTTAAGATTATCTTTTAGTAAGTAATAACGATTTATGATATAAAATTTCCTTTTTAAATAAAATTAAATAAAACGAGTAAATTTAAATAAATATTAATAACATTACACATTTTACTCATATATGGAAAAAGTCACAAAGGTAGCTCTCAGATGATGATGACTTGGGCAACCCTACCACTACGGTTAAGGGCGTCCAAATGTTGTGCCCTGAGTTTGGGCTATACCTGTGCCTCCATCACGAAATAGCTTTGTGATTGGGGAAAAATGCCCATTGTCTTCCTTGGGACTTGGTTTCCTCATTTGTTAAACAAGGCCTTTAACCTATATTGCTGGCATTCTTCCATGAGTTTAAGGAGAAAGGAGGGCTTGCCCTATGGGTTTACCTTGTTGACATCGAGGCGCATCTTCTCGCTGTTGGCACTGGCAGCCTTCTCAGCTGCTTTCTTTTGGCGCTGGGGTCCTCTCCCAAAGAAGATGTAGTTGACCAACGCATATTCCAGAAGGGCCATGAAAACAAAGACAAAGCACCCCATCAGGTACATGTCAATGGCCTTCACATAGGGGATTTTAGGGAGCGTCTCCCGGAGATGGGTGTTGATGGTGGTCATTGTTAGGACAGTTGTAATTCCTGAAAGAAAAAATGAGAGTTAGAGTAATAATGTTCTCATTTCCTTGCTACTCCCATTGTACTTTTTTCCTCATTCATATGTGCTATAAAATATATACTGGGCACTTATTATATATCAGCTCTGTAACAGGCCCTGGAGACATGCATAAATCTTTAATTTGCAATAAATATTAATCATTTTAGAACCTTCTTTAATTACATTTTTATGTTTATATTTATCAGTGGGGAGGCTAGAAATGTGAACTAAATGCTAGGTTAGACATGTGTGTAGGGTGAAAGTTGAGCACATGGAGAAAACCCTAGTTTAGCCTTGTGATGCAGTAGGGATGAGATCAAGAAATGGACACTGGAGCTGAGTACTGAAGAAAGAATAGGAGTTGCCTAGGTAACCAAGGATGGCAGGTCAAAAGTGATGGTAGACCTAAGAGCACTAGAGGTAGGTTTTTGTATAAAGGAGTCTTTGTGGGGTGAAAGCATACAGCTCCTCAAAAGAATTTCAACGAAGTCAATGTGGGTGCAGCAGAGGATATGATGGGAAGAATGGCGAGGAGAGTGAAAATTAAGTAAGGGCTACATAATAGAGAGCCTTATATACAGAGCCCAATGGGAATATTTTTTTTTTTTTACGCCTACAGCACCTGGTATTCCTAGGTGGTCTCCCATCCAAATACCAACCAGGCCTGACCCTGCTTAGCTTCTGAGATCAGACGAGATCGGGCACATTCAGGGTGGCATGGCCACAGACCCAATGGGAATTTTGAACTTAAAGTTGTAGGCAATGTGGGGCCATTGACCAGCTTTAAGAAGAAAGATATAGAGACAAATTATGTTTAGGATAATTTCGTTGGTAGCAGTGTGGGGGAAAGAGGGAAACCATACAAGAAAGGCATAAAGAATATCAGTTAAAAGTTTTTCAGAATAATCTAAGTAAGTGATGGAAGGAAAATAATTTAAAATAATCACAATAGTACTACAATCAGTGAATGCATTATAAAGGTAATATGGACAAATGAGTAAAAAATTTGGAAACTGGAGGTGGGGGATAACAGAGAAGCAGGAATCTAGCCCTTATGTTTCTAGACTGGGTACCTAGGCATGTAATACCCAGATAAATAATACAGAAGTATTACAGGAATGCTTATGGGAAATGCCATACAAGGTGATGGCATTTATAACTATAATTATTCATCTGAATGAGTAAGCATCTCTAACAGTGGGGAGTAGTTTCCCTGAAAGGTATAATTGATGGGATGTAGACAGAGATACACTGGAAAAAGCACTGGAGGTCCAGAGTCCTGAACATGATAAGGTCCAGCTTTGTGAAAACAGACAGAGCTCAGAGGTCAACATCACAAAGATGGAAAGTTGTGCAGTTGACCCTGAACTGGGACCTCTCTGACTCAGAAACCTGTGTCCTTCAATGCTACCCTAACAACATGGCCCAGAAATTAAGTTTCATTGCTATGGGTTTTTTCTGAACATACGTTTTCTGATTTAATTTTATCTTTACAATAACATCATAATTTTTGTCTTGCTTTACAGATGTTCATAAAATAGCTACAGAAAAAATAAATTTGAGCATCTGATTCTGAGCATGGACAGAAAAACCCTGGTATTATTTTAGACCTAGGTGTCTTATAGTTCTCATATCTTTTTCATAATAATATCTTAAAAACATTTTCCAATTTCATTTTTCTCTTTATTTTATCAGCTACAGATTATTCTGTATGACACGGAACCATAAAACTGACAATGCTAATTTTACTATTTATCTAAATCTCATTTTAAGGTATTATTGACCTAGTAATAAACTGTTTACATAAAAAAATTAATTTCTTTTAAAAAGTAAATAAATTATTATTTCTGTAATAGATATAAAATGGATAAGATTTTCCCTTGGGAATAATACGATATTTACAAATTTCATTCACTCCTTTATTCAGCAAATATTTACTGAATACCATTCACTGTGTGAGACACTACAGATATAATGGAAGCAGAATTAGATACGGACCTTTCTCCAATGAATTTTTCAGTACCATGAGGAAAAGTGATATCATGGACCAAATAAATATAAATTATGATTGTGGTCAGTCTACAAAGGGGAAATTCTATAGCATTATAAGAGATTAAATCACGGGGGCTTGACTCAGTCCAGGAGGTCACTGTGTCTCCCTTCCATTCTTGAGCCACCCAATCTAAGCTTAACACAGCAGCCAAAGTGATCCCTTAAAAACTGAAACCAAATCATGTTATTTCTTTGCTCAGTGCCTCTCTAATTTCACTCAGAATAAAAGTGAAGCCTTTATAATGGCCCCCAAAGCACTTTATAATCTTTTTGTCTGCTCTCGCCCACATTATCTTTACCCTTGGACTCTCTCTGCAATTGCCTCACTGGTCACTTCAATGACATGGCTGGCATGTTTCTACCTCATGGTCTGGAATATTCTCATCTGGATATCCATGTGGCTTTTCGACCTCTTCAAGTCTTTGTTCCATTTACAATTTCTAAATAAGTCCTACCCTGATTGTTCCAAACTGCATCCCTGGCATAATCCTCCCCACTTACTTTTCTTATTTCCCTCTATACGCTTCCCATGTCATATAATTTGCATGGCTATTCAATGTATTGCCTATCTTTTACTGCTAGAACATAACTTTTAAAAGGGCATTGCTTTATCTCCAGTGTCTATTATAGTTGGCATGGCACACAGTAGGTGTTCAACAAATATGTGCTGAATGAATAAATAAATGACTTCTCCAAGGAAGTATTGATTAAATTGAGATCTCATGGTAGAAGAGTTAATTCAACACTTTAAAGAGATTATTAGTATTCAAAATAATAAAGATTGTATAAAAGGTCATAACGAGTTAGCAATATAAAAATGTTCATGAAATATAATTTATTCTCTTCCTCTGGTGTTATAACAACAACAAAAAAATCAAGCATAAGATAAGTGATGACACAGATGGTTTTTCAACATTTTTCTTGGTTTTCTCTTGTTCTCTGCAAGGCTATTCCAAAGTGTTAATAAGATTTTAGAATTCTTTCAGCTTAGCTATTAGTTACATACTACATTTCCTTGTTTTTTTTTTTCTCTTAAAAAAAAAAGGTGGAAGGGAGCTCTTCCTAGGTAAGGAAGCACAGATACAAATTTAATAATTATCAAGCAATATTACATGAACTATGCTTCAATAAAAATATCACACTGATGAGACTAATTTCATTACCAACAGCTATATAGTTAACTAATTTTGACATGAAAGAGCTTTAATATGTGTTTAATTGATTTAATGCTGAATCAGATCACCCAAAGTCTCAGAGTCAACAACTTGTAACATGTGCAGTCTGGTCTTGTCACGCATCACAAATTCCAGGGTAAGGAGAGAGCATCTGTGGACACACACACACACACACACACACACACACACACACACACACAGTCAAATTCCATAAGCAGTTAGAAAACGGCCTACCTAATGCCACTCTTGCAGCTGAAGCATCATAATTGATCCAGAAGGAGACCCAGGAGAGGATAGTGATCAGGATGGAAGGCATGTACGTTTGCAGGATAAAGTAACCGATGTTTCTCTTCAGCTTAAAGCTTAGAGACAACCTGGGATAGGAACCTAGAAAGGCAATTTTAGAACATTATCATTTATCAATTAATACTTGTAGGATACTTTCCTTTAAAGGCTCATAAACAGTTTGCATATATTCCTAAATTCAATTTTACCTCCTGATGAAGAGCACTTTTGCCTGCAAAAGAAGTCTGAGAACACTGGGTTTTTAATTAGCAGGAGTGCTGAATACATCTCTTAATCAGTAATTAAAAGAATTCTTGGTTTTCTCTGCTCAGCCTTGTATAGTCAAAGATACTCATTCTCTACAATTGTAATGAAAAGACAATTTGGGACAATCCCTTTGTCTGCCTCCCCCCGCCCCACTCCCACAAGTCCATCAATAAGGGTTTTTTTGGCAGGGGCGGGGAGCGTATAAGAGTAAGGTTGTACACTCTGGTGATAGTAAAAGGTATCTCTTCACAAAGGCCCAGGATGATCTTAAGTCTGGAATCAAGGGCTACACTTCAGGTAATGTAGCGACCAAAGGTGGAGAATCACTGTTCCTGAGTAAAATTTGTGGGACACATTACTAAAGGATTGCAATACTGAAGCTGGGTCCTTTGACTGTGTGATCTGGGGATTTACACTTTAGATGAGCTATGTAACTTCTAGAACACAGCCGTAGAACATAAACGATTTACCTTGATAAATTGTGTGCATTTGGGGGCATGGTATTCTAACTAATTGAAAGAAAGCCTTATCTAGCCCTCTTGGGCTAAACCAAGTGTCTTAAAATGAAAGTAATGGTATTTTAAGTAGGAACTCATTTCTATAGTCTCAGGCATTCAGAAGATCTCACAATTCAGAACATTTTGTTATTATTGTTCTTTTTTAAAAGCTAGAGGCTATACTATATCCTTACTAAGTCATACAACTGTTGCCTAAAGTAGTTTTCAGGGACAGAAAATGCCTAAATCTTTAGCAGAGGAACAATTCAAAACCTATAGTTACAGTACTAGCTATTTCTGTGTGAAGAATTCATTTCAATAAGAAAAACATAAAGATGGATATGCCTGTGGGCCTATTATTTTTCCCTTAATGAGTATGTAGCAAATTATTACTTTCCTGGGCTTTTTGTTGTTGTTGTTAAAAATTTGTGCTGATGAAACCTAGACAACCTAAAACCTCAATGCTGGAAGAGTAAGGATGGTGAAGCCATCAAGATTAATCCTATCTCTGAAAGGGTATCTAGCTCCCAAACAAGAGGTAATAGTAGGTAACATAAAGAAATTCTCATCCTTTGAAAGAAATGTGAAATTCTCCTACCCTATTCTCTTTAGAAAATTTCATTGCGATCAGACTTGAGTGAACTGTGACTTAGCTATCCCCAGTATCTCTGAAAGCATTATGATCAACTCTGTGAGATGAATAAAGTTGAGGGAACAATTCTGACCTAGGTCTTGATTTCTCTTTCTGTATCCCGTTTACACAGTTATTCCTTTCCCTGGCAAATGAGAGACACAGAGCTAATCCTCTCAGCTTTGCTGGGGGGGCGGGCCTTCTGGAAAATAACTGAATGGGTTGCAAAGGAGCAGTGGAGAACTGAAGGATTTCAGCAGATCTACATCTTCTAGAGTCACCATCTTTCCCTGGGACCCAATACTGAACTAAGTGAACCCTTTTTACAAAAGATGATGGAGACTCCTTTAGCCCTCTTCTCTGATACAAACCTGTGGAAAAAACAACCTTCTTGGTGATAAGTTTGTAATCTACGATAGAGAACTGTGGAAGTTCAATCTTTGTCACTCCTGTTACTGCGTTATCATCGCCACGCCAGTAAAACTCAATGTCATCAGTTGTATATCCATCTGTAAAAGGAAACATACACACACACATACAGATACACAAAACACAAAGCAAACAAACAAAACAAAATAAAGAATAAGGTTTAGAAGATAAACTATGTAAACGATAGTAGCTACAGCTAAAGGCTATTATATATAAGGTACCATGCTAAGAACCTCAATTATATTGTCACATTTAATCCTCACAATAATCTCATCAGGGAAGTTGAGTCTTGAACCTAAGTTTATCTGATTAGGAATGTCATTCTCTCAAATATTACTGTATTACCACATAACCCTGGATGGTAGTCTAAGAAAGACAAGAGAAAAATCATTTACATTATCACTACAGCACTGAATGTTATCAAACAATATATTTGGGTTTCAAGTCAGAAGTAATTATGAAGAAGTGAGTCATCAATTTTTAATACTTATAGATAGAATCTTCAAATTTGATTTTGCACCATATCTAAATTCCAACCCCCTCCCAAAACTTCAAAACAACATTAATTCTTATAGTTTTAAGGAGTAAATAGAAATGTATAGTGTACACTATAAATGTACAGTACATTTAGAACTTATGCTTTCCTTCATTTGACAATTATTTACTGAGCACCTACTATGCTCATCAGTGCACAGTTGCTGGGGATAGGAATCTGTATAATAAAGACACGTTCTCTGTTATAATGATACATTCAATCCATGGGACAGAGTAGAGTAAAGCACATGTATTCTAATTAGTAAGCACACATATAATGGTAATGGATAAGTATACATTATATTGTAAACAGTGCTATACAGAGAAGCATGCAATGAAATTCAGTGAATATTAATATATAAGCTAACTCATCCAAAGCCCTCCCCCACTCCACCAAAAGCATACATTGCCTTTGTATATCCCATTTATCTTTTCAAAGAACTTTTGCATCCGGACAATTGAATTTTTAAAAGCATAGAAGAGAGTCAGGACAGATACTACTCAATTTCAAAAGCAACAAAACGAATTATAAATACTACTTCAATTCTTTACTTTTCAACATGCAACTAGTTAGTGCAACTCTGAGGAGCTGAATGTCAATCCTTTGACCCTTATCTTAGCTCTTATGATTTTCAGTAAACCACTTTGCCTCCAAAGAGCAGAATCTCCAAAAAAAGTGAAAACAAATTATTTTTCAAAGAACTACAATGACCTCAACCTAAGAATTTACATAACCAAAGCAGAGTTCAGACAATGTCTTAACTTTTCTAGAAATCTGCAGTCCTCTTCATTTATAGGAGCAACCATTTTGATTGGATGCAGAAATATAGTATTTTGGAAGAGTCATTGAAACTTGAACTTCTGGTTTTGCAACTACAGGCTTTTGGGATAATAGCTAATGATTTTAAAAAGGGTTGTTTAGTTGCAAATATCATAATTATATTGTAATCAAAATTGTAGAGTTTTAACATATTATAAACCACCAATATTTTTAGTAGCATGATCTCATTTAGAGCCCTTTGTTTTTTAGATAATGTCCTTCTGCACGTAACACTTTAATTTTATAGGAAAGTCTAGGTATTAAGTAAATGGCATAGTAAGCAGATTCTCAGAAAAGAGCTTCTCACACCCCACTGATCTACCTCATTATATTCTTTACCTAATCCTTGAACTGAGGTGTCTGTCCCAAAAATAACTGCTCTTTTCCTATGATTGCAATTTTCCCAATGTGGCCCTGGGAACCCTCACAGGCTAGAACTCCATCTCAAATATAATCCTATTTCTTAGTTGTTATTTGTACATGTTTCTCGGTTATATAATTGTTTAGAGCCAATGACAATCCCAGCTTTGATAAAATAGTTTAAAATAACAAAGGGAAAGCAATTTGCTCCTAGAATCAACCTAGATAGTTAGAATTGCATAGTAAAATTGATTTTGTGGTATATAAACATGAATAAAGGTGTTTCTAAAACAAACAGGCAATAGTTTTTTT